CTTTTTTTGACTTTTTTTTTGACTTTTTTTTGACTTTTCAATTTGACTTTTTTTTGACTTTGACTTTTGGGATTGACTTTTTTTTGACTTTTTTTTGACTTTTTTTTAAATTTTGAAAACAGGTTCTTTCCAATGAAAGTTTTTTATAAGCCTTGGGGCCTGCAAAGGTTGAACTGTCCTCGGCGGAGTTGGGGGACCCCCCTGGTCTAAGTATACCTTCTGAGCATGTGGTCGGGTATACTCTTACAGTGGTTTCAGAGGTTCGATGGCACTGGCACCCGAAGAGGTCCAGCCAGCTGGGGGTCCACTAGGCCCACTGGCACCGACCTTAAGGGGTAACTTGTGCCCATCGAACCTCCGCTCTGAACCCACTGTGTTTGGTCCCCACCCCACCGTGCTCAACACGTCCAGGCTTCCAGGGTCCCCACCGGCCTCTAAGGGAGTCGGTGCCAAAGCAGCGGTACTGAAGCTGCGATGCCACTCGCCCTGGGCGAGGAAGGCAGTGGGAAAAGCCACCCGTCGCGCCAGTAAGGAACTCGTGAACCCTGGAATACATATATACCAAGGCCAGCTATCCGTGGTGGCATCGGCTTGGCATGATTCACAGTGGTGGCCCACAGTTTTAAATCGGGAATCCAAACTGTTAGCTGTGAGTTGTGATGTTCTTTCGATACCCTGAATGAAGCAACTACTGGGAGCATCCAACTTCACTCTGAGAAAAAGACATGGTGTTGCTTTGGATTCAGGGTCCACCACCAAGGCCCTCCGTGTCAGGGTGTCTATATGTGTTGTTCTCTAATGGCCTCTGGCCCTGATGGGGGTTATGCTTGTCTCGGGCTGTTCATGAACCACCCCTTAAGGCCGGGGGCTCTCCACCCGTTGCTCCAAACCTTGCAAACGGGTCCACTGGTGGGTCGCGACCGGACATCTGCCCCCCGTCGTACCTGCGGCGGGTACTGACCGGACATGGACCTGCAGGCGGTGATGCACTGCGGGCCCGGGACCAGCTAAGCAGGTTCATGTGTTCATGTTATTGTGTGATATTGTGTGTACACAGTGTGCATCTATATATATATAT